ATTTATTTTAGAGAGAATAGAAAAATGATAGCTAAGACTTCAGAAAAGATACAGTTTCAACCCGCCCTGAACAGGATGATGGGGATGCAGCAGTGGCTGTTACCTTGCACGTTGTTGTCTCGTGTCGATGCTCAGATTGCCAGATATCAGCATGTAAAGTTGAGCAAAGTAACACTTTTAACCATTAATTTCTACCTTCAGAAAACCAATAGATTTTATTTCTTCTTTTGGGTTCTTATACTAGGGAGACAATACGATACTTACACATGTGGGTCTGGTTTATTTCCCTTACGAGTATAGCCTCTAGTTGCATCCACTAACCTATGACGGCTTCGAGTTTGTCTCTCTTTATAGCTGAGTAATACTTTATAGTATAAAAATACCACGGCTTTTCCATCCATTCCTCAGGTGATGGGCATTTTGGTTGCTTCCACTATTTGGCTATGACAAATTGTGCTGCTATAAACATGGGTGCACATACATCATTATGGCATGATGTTTTTAGTTCCTTTGGGAAAATACACAGAAGGAAAGTAGCGGGATTGAATGGGATTTCCAGTTCTAGTTTTCTGAGGAGTCTCCATACTGACTTCTATAGTGGTTGCAGAAGCTTGCATTTCAAGCAGCAGTGGGAAAGGGTTCCTTGAGGTGATTGTGCTAGCAATTTCCATCAGTTTTTTTTTAAATAGCAGTAAATGTGTAGAATTTTCACCTTGATTAGCTCTTTTTTTCCCCTGTACCAGGATTGAACTCAGGATCTTGCACTTCCCAGGCAAGTGCTTATTCCACTGAGCTATCTCCCCAGCCCAAACTTGATTAAATCTCTATTCTGTTATCTGCAATCTAAGCAACTACATCGAAGACAACAATGCATAATAGAAAAACCATGCTTGAATACCTGTCATCTTGGTCTTTTAAATGTGTACAGTTTCTGGGCCCATGAGATAGCTCAGCAGCCTAAAGCACCTGCGGGAGTCAGGTGCAGGCAAGAGTGCAGGGACCACGGTTCGATCCCCAACACTACATGCTATGCCAGCACTCCCCAGGTTGGGAAGAGCCAGTCACAAAAATTAAATGTATACCATTTCTAATGTTATATCAATTATTACTATACTCTCTTTAAAATAAAATTTTTAAAAGCTAAAAAAAGGGACAAGAACAAAAATGTAAGGTTTCTTGCAAGCAAGTAGTAATAGTCATATGTTGAAACTTACATAAATACATCTGTTAATTTGAGCAACAGATAGGATGACAAAAATAGGTAATATATCAAACATTGTTAATCATCTATTCTTGTTCTGAAAATCTGCGACACATGTATTATTGTATGTTACCGTTTCTGTCTTTGTTTCTGATTTTTGTTCTTGCTTTTACTTTTCAAAATAAAATAAAATAAACCAATATAAATTAATGGTACAGTAATCTTAACTATCCTTTGTATATACATACACGATGTTGTCCCTTCCCTTTTTTTCTTTTCTCCTTCCCTTCACACTAGTTGTTTATTCCTTTTGCTCAGCTTTTCACCTTTTACTATATCTATTGTACCCTTCAGATTTTATATATTCTTTCAGATTCTTACACTAGGGGACAAAATAATGTATACAAATGTGAGTCTGGTTTATTTCACATGCAAGGATAGCCTCCAGGTGTGTCCATCTACCTATAAAAGCCTCAAGTTTATCTTTCTTTAAAGCTGAGTAATATGCCCTTGTATAAAAATGACACCGCTATTCTCAGTTGATGGGCACTTGGGGTGTTTGCAAGATTTAGCTATGACAAATTGTGCTGCTATAAACATGGGTGCATAATACCCTTTTTCCATGATGTCTTCAATTTTTCTGGGAAAATACTCAAAAGGGGAAAATAGCTGGGTTGGATGTACCTCCAATCCTAGTTCTTTGTTTGTATTGTTTTGTTTTATTAATCTCCACTCTGATTTCCATAGGGGTTGTACCAGTCTACACTCCTACCAGCTATGGAGAAGGGTTCCTTTTTCCCAACACCCTCTCCAGCATTAGCTATTAGTTGATTTCCTTATGATAGCCATTCTTTCTGGGTGAGATGCAATCTCAGTGTTGTTTTAATTTACATTTCTCAAATGACCAGTGCTGTGGAACATTTCTTCATGTAATTATCTACCATTTGTATTTATTCCTTTGAGAAGCATGTATTCATCTCAGATGTCATTTTTGAATTGGGTCTCTGAATTTTAGGGCCTGACTTTTTTAGTTCTTTATATATTCTAGAATAAGTCTTTTGTCTGAGTGGCTGCTGGTTAGGAGTTTTTCAAAATTGTGAGTTTTGTTTTCACTCTGTTGGTGATTTCTTTTGATGTGCAGAAACTTTTGAATCACATGAGATTCCAATTGTGGATTCTTTGAAGTATTTCCTATGCAGTTCAGTTTTTGTTCATGAACTCTCTGCCTATCCCTATGTCTTCCAGAAATCTATCTACTTTCTCTTCCAGTATATTTAGTGTTTTTGTTTTACTGTTTAGATCATTAATCCATTTTGACATTAGTTGGGTGTATGATGATAGAAGTAGGTCTCATTTCAATTTTAAGCGTGTAGAAAACCACTTCAACCAGCACCATTTGTTAAAGAGGCTATCTTTCTTCTAGTGATTGCTTTTGGTCTCTTTGTCAAAGATACGGTGACTCAGTGTGTTCGTATCTGTGTCTGCATCTTCTAATATGTTCCTCTGATCCTCATTGTTGTTTTTTCACAGTATCATGCTGATTTTATCACAGTAGTTTTGTAGTATAATTTCACATCAGGGATTATGATGCCTCCTGTCTTGCCTTTGTTGGCCAGGATTGTCTTTGCTATTCTAGGCCTTTTCTGCTTCTAGATGAATATGAGGAATGTTTTCTCAAGTTCCATGTGGTGTGCTGATGATATTTTGATTGACACTGCAAGAAATCTGTGTAACAGTTTCAAGAATATGGTCATTTTCACAATGTTGGTTCTTCCTATCCAGGAGCAAGGAATATCATTCCATTTTCTCAAATCACTTCAATCTCTTTCCTCAGAGTATTGTAATTTTCATTGTATAGATTTTTACTTCCTTTATTAGATTAATTCCCAAGTGTTTCAATTTTTTTAGAAGCTGTTGTGAAGGGTGTTGTTTCTCTACTTTCTTCCTCTGTGACTTCGTTGTTTCTGCAGAGGAATGCTATTGGTTTTTTGATGTTCATTCTGTATCCTGCTATGTTACTGAATTTGTTTATGAATTCTAGGAGTCTCTTGTTGGAGGTTTTTGGGTCTTCCACAAGAATATCATGTCCTCTACAAATAATGATAACTTAATTTCTTCCTTTCCTGTTCATATTCCTTTTATTTTTCTCTCTTTGTATAATGCCTCTGGCTAATGTTTCCAGAACTATTTTCAGTGGGATTGCAGCAGAGCCATGGTGCCAACACACTGGGGGACCACCCTTCTGGGTAAAGGATCACATCCTCTGCAAATAAGTGCACTGCTCTTCTTCCTTTCCTATTTGCCTTTCTTACTCTTACATAACTTCTTTGGCTCCCCAAAAGCATGTGAACACTGCATACTATTAATGTGTACTGATAAAGAAAATCACTGGGGGAACAAAGAGGTTTGGGAACATCATAAATATGAGTAAAACCCTGGACTCAAGTTCCACTATCTGCTTTTCCAGTGATACTTTCCTACTATGGTGAGATACACATGGCATAGAGTTTACCATCTTAAGCATTTTGAGACATGCACATCAGGGGCACGGCTTATATTTCATCTTTGCCATCCATTTCTAGGCCTTTCTCATGGTCCGCAACTGAAAGTCCATCTCCACGTACTCCCCTCAGGCTGCTCCCCACTCCTGGCATGCACACTCCACTTTCCATCTCCAGGAATCCTGCCTCCTACAGGCACTTGTGTGAGGGCAACTGCAGCATTGGCCTCCTGAAGGGCTTGCTTCACTCAACACAACGTCTTCAAGGCTCACGCAGATGTAGCAGTGGCAGAGCTGTCTGCACTTGTGTTCTACGTAGAGACCACATGCGTGTATCTGCCCATCCATCAGGGGACACTGGGGCTGGTTTCCCCTTGAATTCCTGTGAACAGTGCCATGATCATGGCTGTGCGAACCTGCACTCAACGACCAGCCTTGACATCTTTTGCACGCATGCGCAGAAGTAGCATTCCTGAGTCACGCAGTGATTCCATGGTGACGTTGCCCAGGATTCACTGTACAGTTTCCGCAGCAGCCGCACCCAGTTCCCACCCCCGCTGCGTGGCACAAGGATGTTCGTGTCCCCATAAGCCTGCTCATATTTCGCTTTTTCATCCTTTGGATCAGAAAACTAACTTTTAAGAGGGTTTTACTGAAGCACAGAAGAAACAAAGAACCAGTGTTTTCTGTTTTTCCACCTGCTTCTCTCCTTCAGCCTTCTTCTTCTTCTTCTTCTTTTTTTTTTTTTCAGAACCAGGGGTTGAACTCTACTGAGCCATCTCCCCGGCCCCTCAGGCTTCATTCTGAGAAGGCTTCGAGAAAGTCATGGGTGGGCATTAGAATGGTTGAGCTGGGAGTCGTCTCCTTGTTGCTACTCCTTTTTGTAGTACTGCAAATGGAACCTAGGGCCTTGTGCCTGCTAGACAGCTGCTCTTTGTGCACCAAGTGACACCTGCCGCCCTGGTGGGTTTTCTTGATGTGAATATATCCTGTCGAGTATCAAGAGAGCCGAAGGCACTGTCTGCAAGGGCTCTGGAGCCTGCATTGTCACTTATGCCTAGGTCACTTATTGAACTTGCATAAGTCCTGTAATCACCATGTGCTCCAGCTCCACAGTAAATGTGTTGATATACACTCAGCATTTACATGCACCTCAGACCTTGTACACAGCACTGGGTAAACCTGTAGTGAAAGTTTTTTTTGGAGCCAAGTGTTGTTAGGCCCTGCTCACTACCTCACATTTTACCTAACAGTACTTCTTTTCTTCCAGGTGGTTCTTTGCCCTTCTGGTTGGTCAGACATTTCTCTTCTCCATGGAATGATTTCTACTTCTCTAAAGGGTATTTTTCATCCTATCTTCCTGATGTGAAGAATGATCCTCACCACATATAGGTAAATGTGTATATAATTCTATGTAGTCCTTATACGTGGTTTTTGGGAAAAATATGTCCCTAATCCACTGGTTTCAGATGTGGATGGCAGCAGACCTACCCAAGCTAGCACATTTTCCAGACAACTACAGCATTGTCCTTCCTGGTGACCTCTCTCCATCAAAGATCCCTGATCCTGTGGTTCACTCCCTCAGACCTCCTTTGGTATTGAAGTGCTCTGGACAATGAGTTCTCAAACACTCCCATCACATCCACGCCTGTCCCATAGGCAACTTTCAGTTGGCTGCTGCCTTCTCCTAATGAGGAAGCTCATTTCACAGAGGCCTGGGCCTCAGTGGAGCCTTGTGGGAGATAGCAGACTCCCTGGGAAGGAAAGGGAATGTGGAGACCCTTAGAATGCTATGCATGGGCAGCACCCACATTATCCACATGCTTGGGCAGGCAGTAGCACTACCTTGGTAGGTATCAACACCAGGAATTACCCTCCAGGTATGAATTTGTTATTATGCCTGACATGAACATGCATTTGAATGGACAGGCAGTCAAGCAAGTGGCTTCCTCGTGTAAATATCAAGTGTACATTTTACTTCCTAGAAGATAAATGCTTCCCATAAAATATCAGGAGTATTTTACATTGCTCCCAAAGAAGCCAATATGGAAAAAGAGAGTTTTCAGCAAGCACAGGTTAAACGTGTAAGTAGCTTTGGTGTGATTGTTCGCAGGCAGATTGATAAGCCCATGGTCACCCTACTTTAATTATATAGTATGTGTACTTCTCATTACAAAACAGTGCAGACAGGCTAAGAGTTAGTGCAGTGGTCGAGCTCTACTTAGCACAAGCCAAGCCCTCTCTACTCTGCAAAACAGACAAACCAACAAGCAAGTCAAGAAAGGAATTATGGAAATATATCTACATGAGAATGAAAAGATACTCTACCAAATGGATTTTCTTAGAATTACTCTTTTTATTTGAATCTTTTCAAGGAAAGATTTAGGAAAAATAAGTTCATATCTATTCGTATGTATAAAGCAAAGCACACAAGGTTTTCCTTTATCACAAACGGTCATACCATATATTGTATTTTTCATTTTGGTTTTACATTTTACTCATTTTAGATTTTTTTGTTTCTTTCTACTTTTCACATGGCTTTACTCATTCTTGGCAATGTTGGAGACACCATAATTTATTTGGCCATTCCTCCTTTTATAAACATTTTGGTTATTTCCAATTCTCTCTGTTGCAAATGACACTGAACTGAATCTTGCTGCATATGTTTGAACAGTCTTATATTTCACCATGAATTCTCAAGATGGGAGTTGACAGACCTGACATATGAGCATTCCTGCTTTTGACAGATACGGCCACACTGTGTTCCCGTATCACCTACAAACTCACACTCCTGCAGCTGTCCAATTCCTAGGCTGCTTTTCTCCTCTCCCCTCCCTTCCAGTCTCATTTCTCTCCCCCTTCTCCTTTCTTTGCTCACCTCCCATGGATCCCTGCCCTTCTCTCTTTTCTCTGTTCTTTCTCTCCTCTCCCCCTTCCTCTCACCCTTCTTTCCTTCCATTCTTCCTTCCTCTCTCTTTCTCTTCTCAGTTTTGCTTTCTTTTCTCTCTTTGAGACAAGGTGTCAGTACGGATCCGAGATCAGCCATGCATGTAGGCTGTGCTTGCCTTGAAGCCTGGATCCTTGTGAGTCAGTGCTGGGATCACAGTTGTCCAAACACAGCTCCTAGACGTCTTTTGCTTTTCTAATTGTTTTTCCTGCTGTACAGGGGAAGTAACTCTTCCCAGGCAGGCACTTAATAGCGCTCAACTATACTCCCAACCTTCTTATCTAAAATATTTAGGACAGCAGTATGCATATAGAACATTAAAATACAATGTTCACAAGTCAACAGCATATAAATGCTTACCATGCTCTAACCACAACTCATGCTCCAATTTTTTCCCTTCCTTGGTGTTCCTGGTTGATTTCCTGCCTCCTCATCCTCCTCGGCAGTTTTTCTGAAGTGAAGCAACTGATCTACTGCATCACTGTCCTCCTGTTTACTTTTGCGATGTGGATACTCAGTGTGATCCTAGTGAGCAGTATATCCTGGCGTGTGTGGGAATTTGACAGTCAGGTTGTTCCCCTTGCCTACATTGGACTTTGGAAGGCCCAGTACTATCTCAGGGAAAACACCTCTGTCCTAGTGCTAGCAGAAGCTGACATCCACAGTGGGTGGACCTATGCAGTTGAACTTGAGTATGCAAAAGAACTAATGATGTTGGTGAATTTTATGCTGTTTGCGGCCGTGATCTTCTGCACCGTGGCCTTTATCGTCAGCAGGTCAAAGACTAACTACCAAGATTTCCTGACACTCTACTACACATTCTCAGCCCTCCTTCTTTTACTCAGCTCTGGCTGTGTGGCTCTGGCTGTGAGCTGGAACTACACCATGGACTTATCTGGCCAAAGCACCCTTGATTTCCCATTAGAGTTTCCTGTTGAAAAAGAGGATGTGACCAAGAAACACTCGTCCTACGTGTTCCCACTGGGAATCAGCACTGCTGCTCTGTCCTTCCTTGATGCCATCCTGTGCCTTTACTCTATGATCTTCACAGAGCCCAAGCCCATGCCCCCAGAAGATGATCCCTGAGGCTCACTCGAAGGCACGGAATGTAGGGCTGGATGGTGGGAGGTCCTGAATGCAGGGAGCTTGAGGTATTTGCCACCGAGGTGGCACATTGGGGCAAGTACATCCTCACTGCAAATAAAATTATGTCCTTGGTATCTCCGTGTGTGTCTCAGGTTTCTGGGCTCCTCTGTTCCGTTGGTCCATCTCTTCCTTGAAGGGCTTCATTTCTGGTAATCGGCCTTCTGACACTTCCTGTTATGTGCTGCCAAAATCCATAGGCAAGGAAGTATGCTGCCTGGTGTGTGCCAGCTCACATCAGTGACAAGGACCTGCTCCACAGTGGCCCCACCGTGGAAAGAGGCTGTGGGTGCACACAGAAATCATGCATTCTCAGGGCCTCGCACTCTGTCAGATGTGCTCAGTGTTGAGGTCAGAGCAGGTTTCCCCAGCCTTGTTACTATGGACATTAGAGGCTGGGTTCTTTGGGAACAGGTGGGCTGGACTGGGCCTTGAGGACTATAAGGAGCATCTGCAGCCTCTTCCCCATGGAGGACTGCAGTGGCATTAGTTTCCTGCATTGCAAACACCCAAATGAGCAGACATTTGCAAATGTCCCCCAAGAAGTGAATGTGTCCCTGCTGAGAAGCTCTGGTCTGGATGCAGCCAGTGAGGCAGGCCCCTGCAGCTAATGGTGTGCTGAGATGATGTGAAGAAGCTGCTAATCTAGCAAACATGCACATTCTCATGAATCACCTCAGATCAGGCCTCTGCCAGAGATGAATGTGTTTCTCCTTGCTGGAGATGTTTGCCAATGACAATGTCAATGAAAAATATGATCTGCAAAGTATCCAGTGCTATGCTACGGTTTCTTAGCTGGACAATGCAGGTGATGAGAGAACCGGGGAGCTTGGGCCACACACTTAAGGTAGAAACTATGAAACCTGGAGCAGGTTATGAGAACTCAATAGAGGAAATGATACAGAGTTTGTAAGAGGCAGGGAAGATACAGTGAGAAGGCTCCAATGACTGGTTCATGAAACTTCAGGGAAAGACAAACAGACTGAGACAATCTTCAAGGAAGTGAAGTTAAACATTGCAGAGTTACTGAAAGACATGAATGCTGAAATTGAGAAAAAACTGTCAGTCTTTCATAAGCTAAGCAAAAATGGATGCATGTGTAGATATATATGAATGTGTAGGCATTTTCAGGTACAAAGAGAAGTTGTTTGAGGAAAATCAACATATTAATGACAAAGGATCTACAATTACACTAACTGACCAGACTCTCCAACAAGAACAAACAAAAGCACTTAAAAATGGCTTCAAAGGGATGAATGTAAGGGTAAACCGGTAATTCTATTATTTGCCAAGCCAGTGCTCACGAATGAGAACAGTGTAAAGGCAGCTTCAGGTAAAGGGCTGTGAAATGACACCATTTGTGAAGAAGAAACTGTGCACAGTGTGTGTCCTCTGCAGATAGCCGAGGGCTGAAAGGGGTGGAAGCCTTCCCAGGTTGTTTTTGCCTGAGTCCCTGACCTCAGCTCTTAAGCCGTTATGCTAAATTCTATGACTAACTTGTGAACAGAATGAGAAGAAAGTTAAAGGGGGAACACAGAAGAAGAAAGATGGAGGTCTGTTATTTTGCAAGGTTAGTGTGACTACGTGAGGCTGGGAAAGAGCTTGGCAGTCTAAGCACCTGCCTGGTAAGCTCAGGGACCCAAGTGAGATCACTATGAGTCTGACCTGCATAGTGAGACCCTGTTCCAGATAAATAAATAAATAAATAAATAAATAAATGATTAAACATAAGTTAAAAAATATGACTATGTAACAAATCCAGGAGACTAGTCATGACTCCATTTTTAAGAATGTTCTAGAAAAAGGAGCATCTCAAAGACAAATCAGTGCTGTGACTCAAGTCACAGAATAGAGTGAGCACACGAGGACCTTGAGGATACTTTGGGTGCTATCCAGGCTGTGTAGCTGGGGGAGAGTTCACTGTCCCACCATAGTACAGTTTGCTGAAACTCTTCAAAGAACATATGCTAAATCAAGCAGTTTTATTCTTTATAAATGCTAGTAATGCCTGAGAGTCCAAAGGCTTCTGTTCATGAACACTTTGGTTCCTGAACAAAAGTGTTGGGCGTTTTGCTTCTTTTCTTGGACTCTGCATGGGTTGAGGAACTCAACCAGGACCACGGTTTCCAGAATTGTGGAATGAGTTATGTTCGTGAATCAAGGTACCGCTGTGTACAACAATAATGAAATTTAAACAGAAAACTTTCCATTCCTATACATCAGTGGCAACCTTTTTTTCAGTTCTTGGGGCTGAGGGGACAGGCTCCTTCAGGCTAGGCAAGCACTCCACCCTTGAAGGATATCTGCAGCCACGAACTTTTATTTTATTTTTTTATAAACACAATGTATTTATCGAGGGAAAGAAAGCTCCTGTCCAAGAGAGAGACAGGAGGGGAGCCCAAGCGGGTTGTTCCCCTGGTAGTGACATTTATTTTGTCCTTACAGCACTTTTTAAGGCCTCACAAATTACATATCCAGGGGTAGAATAGTTAATAGTTTAAAGGAGAAGCCTTTAAAGAAGCACTGCTTGAGACAGGGAGTGGTGGCGTGTGCCTATAATCCCAGCTCTTGGGAGGGTATAAACAGATGGTTCACTATGAGTTCGATCTAGTAATGAGACCCTGAATACACTGTAGACCCTTGCCTAAAATACACACACACACACACACACACACACACACACACACAAAGAAGCACTGCATCCTGCTTATGCAGAATGCAGGGATCATGTTTCCATCCCCTGCATGCCATGCCAGCCCCACTGGCCCACTGAGAAGGCAAATGAGACTGGGTGTGGTGGTGGGAGCCTTTAACCCCAGCTTGGAAAGATGGAAACAGGAAGATCACTATGAGTCCGCTCTACATAGTGAGACCCTGTGGACCCTGTACTAAATGCGTAATAAATAAATAAATAAACAAACAAACAAAGATGCACTGTTGTGCATTATGACATAGCAGATCTAATGGGTTTGCAAAAGAGAACCTTAAAAGTAGGGGGAAATCTTACAGAAATCTTGTGTTGTATAATTGCTGGATGATTGTTCTCTGAGATGTATGGTTTTCCCCTCCTTTGTGGCTTTTGGACTACCATCCTCTATCACACCCTCCCCTTGCTGTCTGGTGAAAACTACATGATCCTTGTTGCTGATTTCCACCTGGGAAATACCACCTGATAGTAGCAGTTAAGAGCAATAAAACATGAAGTTTATCTTTTAAAAACATTAACACTGTTGTGAATTGAAAACATCAAGCACACACTAGCTGCAAATTCAAGCCTTTTTTCATATGACAAAGATACACTGAAAACATACAAAAGGTGTTTTTCTTGAGCAAAATGTGAATATTAGGGCTGGTGAGATGGCTCAGTGATCTAAAGCACCTACTTAGAACAAACAAGCTTAGCAAAGCACAGGGACCACGGTTCAATCCTCTGGCACCACATGCCAGCCAGCCCCACCCCCTGGTGGGCTGAGCTGGCCACACACACACACACACACACACACACACAAACAAATAAATAAATAAAATTTAAAAAAGAAAGAATATTATTTTATATCCAACATATAAATTTCCAAGAGATAAAATATCAGAGATTTTCCCCATCACATAAAAATCAGGAAGGTTCACCTTCATGTGAAAAAATACATATACACACATAAGAATAATTGAAGATGAGCTTCAACAATCATACCATAAAATCTGGACTGATGAGGCCAACATACTAAACTATAATTGATCAGTTTCATGAATCTCAGTAAACCCAAGTTTAAAACTACACAGCACTGTTTAGCAGCAGTGAGTATCACAGTAATGCTGTTGCTGTCATCCAATTTGAGATGTGTGAACCACGCCAAATGGAGGACACTGAATAAAGCAATGAAGCAGGTCGTCACGCTTGAGAGGAATCAAGGAAATTCCAAGGACTTTAGAAAACCTGCTTAAGTCAGAAATATCTTCTTTACATGATGACATAGAAGCACAATTAAAGCAGACAGTTTTTATTATCAGCTCAAAAATATAAGAAATTTTGGACTAGGTGTTTAAAGATCTAAGTTATCTCCAAACAACACATCTCTTGCAATAAGAGGCAAAGTTCCCATTTTTGGAAAATATACTCTTCACACAGTGAAACTGAGAAAAATTACACCATGTAAAGTCTTTTCCTCTAAGTAATCTTCAATATTCCCAATAATGTTAATCTTCAGAAGTGAAAATTTTCATCTCAGAGTTGAAAGAGTTTATCGTGAAACATACTCAAAACTTCTTGTTTGGCACCAACCTTTCAAAAATTAAAGAACTGTTTAACCTAATTGTTCTTAAATCATACTTCAAACTTTGTAGCTTTTTAGTTTTGGCATGAAACTGTTCAATGAGTTCAGTTTAGACTGAACTCTGTAATATACCAATCAGCCATGCTAAGCCATCCATCCACTCACTCCTGTTTGCTCTGTGACATCTACCTTTGCACCGTTAATCTCAGGATCTCCCCACTCAGCAAAACCTGGCCACTCTGGTTGAAGA